GTAGATGGGATTACAGGCACATGTCACCACATCCAGCTAATTTTTGTATTTTTAGTAGAGACAGGGTTTCACTATGTTGGCCAAGCTGATCTCACACTCCTGACCTCAAGTGATCCCCCAGCCTTGGCCCTCCACAGTGCTGGGTTACAAGCGTGACCTGCCACGCCCAGCCATTCAGTCTTTTCTCTCTCCCCAGATTCTCACCTCCAGTCACAAGATGAAGGCAGGGAGCTCACAGCCCTGTGAGAGGCTGGGGAGAATGGTAGGGGCAGGCCAGAGCCATTAAAAGCCCAACTGATTTTCAGATGTATTTTAGCCCTCCCTTACACTCCTGTATCCAGTTTCACTCTAGCAGGAATGAAGACAGGGGAGAGAGGGATTCCAAGCCGACTTAGGGAGTGGAAAATACACATATACGTAAAACATTTCCCACTGGCCTGACCTGAGCTAAGCACTCTTCCTCCCTCAATGGCTCCTTTAATTCTCACAATCTCCCTTTTAGCAGATAATATTGTTGACCCCACTTTGCAGAGGAGAGCACTGAGGCTAAGGAAAGAGGTAAATTCATTCAGAGAGTGAAGGAGGAGTTGGGATTTTAATGCCGGCAGTACGACCTCCCCGCCACTGGCACAGAGGGTCTTTTACTGGGACGTCCCCTGTAACCGGATTGGGGGAGTGCAGGAAAAACTCCAGCCCTCCCCACAGAGCCTTGGCAGTCACAGCTGCTTCCCGGATGAGGAGGGCAGTCCTGAAGCCAGCAGGGAAGCCAGCCCCACAGCCACAGCCCCTCCAGCCTCCTCACAGCTCCCCACAGCCTGGACCTGCCGGCCCTCCCTCCAGGACCTAGGAGCCTCCAAGGGAAATTCAGGTGAGTGTCGCCCTGTCCCAGGAAAGATGAGAGAGAAGCAGGGCTTTGGAGGCAGCTGGCTTTCCTGCATGATCCACAGGTTTTCCTGGGGTGAATCAGATGTGTGTGGGGCGTGCGGGCGTTCCATACTCACAGTCCAAATAACGAGACAGAAAAAGTGCAATGAAGACCTGTGCAAAAGGGCCGAGGAATGAAGTGCCGGGAGAGAGGTGGAGATTGGAGACTACCTAGGAATGGCAGGGGTCGGGGGATGAGGTGCTGCTGAGCGGGACCGGCTGGGGATGAGAAGAACTGGTGGACACCAACAGTCCTGGCCTCTTCCAGCACTGAAACCCCCTAAGAAAGTATCTCTGCTGTTGGGTCAGAGCTAGCGAGTTGCGTATCATTTATTTAATCGCAGTTTGAAAGCTAAACTTCCCTTTCTTGCCTCGTCAGCCCTGGAATCTTTCCCCAAAGCAGGTGACTCCCTCTGGCCTCTACCTTGAAGACACAAGGCTCTCGAGGTCTGCTTTCCCTTCCAACCCTGCCTTCATCCGTGTGTGCTGGTCCCAATGTCAGTGACACCCAGCTGGGGGCCCGGCCCCTGGGAGGGGGTCACCGCAGTGCCTGCCAGTGACCTTGGAGAGATCCACAACTGGACTGAGCTGCTCGACCTCTTCAACCACACTTTGTTCCAGTGCCACGTGGAGCTCAGCGAGAGCACCAAGCGTGTGGTCCTCTTTGTCCTCTACCTGGCCATGTTTGTGGTTGGGCTGGTGGAGAACCTCCTGGTGATATGCGTCAACTGGCACAGCTCAGGCCGGGCGAGGCTGCTGAACCTCTACATCCTCAACATGGCCATAGCGGACCTGGGCGTCGTCCTGTCTCTGCCCGTGTGGATGCTGGAGGTCATGCTGGACTACACCTGGCTCTGGGGCAGCTTCTTCTGTCGCTTCACTCACTACTTCTACTTTGCCAACATGTATAGCAGCATCTTCTTCCTGGTGTGCCTCAGCATCGATCGCTATGCCACCCTCACCAGCACCTCCCCCTCCTGGCAGCGTCACCAGCACCAGGTGCGGAGGGCCGTGTGTGCAGGCATCTGGGTCCTCTCTGCCATCATCCCGCTGCCTGAGGTGGTCCACATCCAGCTGATAGAGGGCCCCGAGCCCGTGTGCCTCTTCATGGCACCTTTTGAAACGTATAGCAGCTGGGCCCTGGCAGTGACCCTGTCCACCACCATCCTGGGTTTCCTGCTGCCCTTCCCTCTCATCACAGTCTTCAATGTACTGATGGCCTGCCGGCTGCGGCAGCTAAGACAGCCCGAGAGCCGGCGCCACTGCCTGCTGATGTGTGCCTACGTGGCCGTCTTCGTTATTTGCTGGCTGCCCTACCATGTGACCCTGCTGCTGCTCACACTGCATTGGACCCACATCTCCCTCCACTGCCACCTGGTCCACCTGCTCTACTTCTTCCATGAAGTCGTCGACTGCTTCTCCATGCTGCACTGTGTCATCAATCCCATCCTTTACAACTTTCTTAGCCCGCGCTTCCGGGACCAGCTTCTGAACGCCATAGTCCATTACCTGCCTAAGGACCAGGCCAGGGCAGGCACACACGCCTCCTCTTCCACCCAGCATTCCATTGTCATCACCAAGGTGGACAGCCAGCCCACTGCAGCAGGCCCCCACCCTGAGCCAAGCCTGAGCTTTCAGGCACCCCCTTTGCTTCCAAATACTTCCCCTGTCACTCCCCCTCAACCTCTTACATCCAGCTGAAGTAGATGCCAGGCTCCTCCAACAGTGAAGGAAATGGCACAGGTGAGAGTGTAGGTGGGAGATTTGGGGCGATGCAGTGGGAGGGTCAGAGGATTCACGTTCAATTTTAAGCCTATCTTAAAATACTGAGGTGGGGAGAAGGAGACGGGATGAGGGATAGAGAGCAGGCCCTCAGTGTTGCACTATTTGTCCCCATCCTTGTGTCTAAGGGAGTCATGCAGGAAAAAAAGGTGAAATAAATGGGAGAGACAGCTATGGACTCTGGATCTTTAAAAAAATCTGTACTTCCAGCTGGGATTGGGAAGGGAGCCGAGGCTAAAGAGGTGCTCGGCAGAGGAAACTAGACGCATTCATTTCATAAATCACTCTGGCCGGAAAAAGTGAGCTCCGCAGGAACCTCACAAAACTCCTTTTGTGTTTGTGAGCTTGTTGATTTTCCAGTTCACTATGCAGGTTATGGGTACAAGAGGCCAGAGGCCAAGGAACCAGGCGGCTCCAGCAGGCCGTTCCCTAGCCGTGCATCCTATGCACAGCTATGATAAGTGAAGGGGACGGCAAGGGTGGGGCGAAGCCAAGGTCTGAGAGCTGCACCCTGCAACTGGGTCGGCAGGATAGTATCTCCACCCACCGCCATCCAGGAAACACAGCTCCATTTCCTTGCTGACACCCTCCCCTCCCTGTTGTCCATCCTGCTCCCTTCCCACAAGCAGAGGAGCTGTCCCAGAGCCAGCTGCTCACAGCTGACCTCCTCCCGGCTTCAGGTCTAGGACACTTCCAGACTTCTAGGGAGACACAGAGCTACCAGAAAGCCTAACCCACCCCCATCTCTTTCTTTCCAGATAATAGGAAAGTATCAAGGGATGTCATTCTGGGAGCAGTCCTTGGGACAGCCAGCAGCAGGTGCTGACAGATGCTCTGTCCTTCACCCTCTGTCCCTGGCACAGATGGGTAAGGCCACATCTCATTCCGTCACAGGGCAGAGCACTGACACTGCTATGTCCGTTTTCCCTGGCCATGTCTTTTCATAATTTTCCTGTCCCACAACTTACGTTCCTTCACATTTGTTCTATGGATGGAACAAGTCCTCTGTTAACAAGTAGGCCTTCTGGAAAAGAATCACTTACATTTGGGAGACCAGGACCCTGTCCATGAAGAACTCTTGAGGTGAAGGCCTAAGAACAGGATCTAGTTTCCACCCTCCAATTCCACGTCCTTTGCCTCTTAATCCTGCCTGTGGTGAAGGGACTGGATGGGATCACTGATAGCCTCTTCACCATCTCCTCTGTCCTGCTCAAGTGCTTGATGTGTCCAGAATGTTTAACTTGGAGTAACTACTCACTGACCCTGAGACCACCTGCTCTGCTTTGATAAATCAGAACCTGTTCTGCAGATGTGCTGACCGTGTGCTCCAATTGCATACACACCCCGCTTGACCAGGAGCATGGAAGGAAACCTGCATCTCTCATCCATCCCCCTCCTCACTGGGCCCAAACCTGAAAGGGTCTTACACTGCAGACAGCTGCTCAGTAGCACAGAGCTGAAGGCTTTGTGAACCAGGAGTCTGGGTTGTGGGTTGGGTCACAGTAAGGGCTTAACCTACCAACACAGAATTCACATTGAAAAGACTTTCCTCCCTTGTCCCAACATAAAAAAGCAAGCCAAGATCTGATGCGCATATCACTGCCTCCTCAGACTTGGACTACAGGAGTTTCCCAAGGGAAACCAAATTTTTTGTCTATCACGTTCCAGGTCACCTCAGAGACCACTCCCCCAAGATTAGTTATCACCCTGGCAGTATGAATACTTCCCTAAGGCCTCCCATCATCGGAAGGGAAGAGTGGGAACCAGCTGTTATGCTCAGCATCTACTGAGCATTGACGGGTGCCCCACCTGGGCCACATGCTCTGGGACCAAATGAACATCACTCCCTGACTTCTTGAGCTCTGTCTCCTCTGTGTATCAACCTCATTAAACCACGCCAAACTTTTCCTCCTCGCTGTTTGAATCTGACTTGCTCCGCTCAAAGAAACATGATGTCCTATCAAATTAAATGACACTGGCAAGATAAATGGTAGCCAAATCTCTCGCTTGGTAAAATTAGTCCAACTAGACACAGGCAGAGACCCACCACTGTCTCTGGGCTGATGGAGGATCCTCTCAGGGACACCTCCTGAAAAGGTTGAGTCTTTGACTTAATTTCCCACTAAAAACGGGTCAACGAGTTAATCCTGGGGAATTCCAGCTATAGGAAAGGAAAATGTGCTACCTGAGAGAATTGTGCCATCTGCTAGGCAGAAATGTGCTACTGAAAGGGTGATGAGCCCAGGTATTCTCAACTCCAGGTATGTGCATATGATAGTAGACAGGAAGAGAACTCTCATTTCAAATTTCTTTTTTTATTCTAAATAAAAACCACACTTTGTGCTGAACAATGGAATATAAAAGAATCAGATGTACAACGATTTTAGACATCTACTATTTGGGGAAAAAAAGTTTACAAAATATACAAAACTTTACAGCAATAGATAGTAAACTTAAATATTAGGAGGTCAGTACTTTATTAATTTAATGGAAGGAGTTAGACATCAACTCGTATCTGTTTCATAGGAGACTTTAGCTATTCAAGGTGGGGGGTGGGCAAGTGGATTGGATGGGGAAGGGTTATAAAGAAACATCAAAATCGAGAGTTTCATTTTCATTCTGATGTGAAGCTTAATAACCACATTGAAACTAACGCTGTGCACCCTGCCTCCTGACACATTTGGTGCAGGATTTAGGGAAAAGGGTCCCAGATGGGCACAGACCACTCCATAGAGCCCACTCCCTTACCAACAAATTCAGCATCTATCTAGAAAGTTTAAATTTGGGAAGTTGAGTAGTCAGTCTGGGGCCTGGTGAAGGAGGCACAGCAGGAGGCTAGAGGAGGAAGAAAATTCAACAGTAGCAGAAACCTATCTAGGAAAGGTATTTAAGCCCAAAGGTTTGGCCTGGAGACAAACAGGTACTCACAGATCAGAAAAGAAGGATGTCAAAAAACCTTTTACCCATCTCCTTATTCTTACAAGTCACCTGGGCCTGACCCCATCCCACCTCCTTTCTTCCTAACTAGCCACAGACTATGGGAACTCCATGGAGTCATAAAATGTAGGATCAAATACTAAGATTTAGCAGAGCTTCCCAGCGGGTGCTGTGGCATCAGTGCAGTGGGCCACTGGAGTGCCAGGATATTAATCTCTGCCTCTGGCCACATGGAGGCTTTGCTGTTTAACCCCAGGTGCCACACAAGTATTACCATTTTCTCTTCAGAAGACAAGTTGGGAATGGCCTCATATTTGGTCTGATGCTCTATGATCACCATCTTGAAATTCTTAATAATTTGTGAATAAGAGGGTTCCACAAATGATGTGGCTGGTCCTGAGTACATACCAAGAAAGAGGGAGAAGAGGACATTCAAGGCTCAAACAGAACTTCAGAGGAACACAGAAGACAGTACGAAACTGGGCTCCAGGAGAGAGGGAGCAACAAAACCAAATGAACAGAAAGTCAAAACAACTAAAAATGCAAAATAAAATGAATACCTTCTACCAGGTATCCCGGGGTGCCCTCTGCCACCATGTAGTGTTTCAAGTAAAACCATTCAGAAGAGGGTGAGCTAGAGGCAGAGGAAGCAGACATGATTTGGGGGTGGGTGAGGAACGGGGACGTTCAGGTGTGAATATAGGGGTTTAGTCAACAAGTCTCATGAGCTACTGATCCTACGACGTATCTGACTGGGACCAACCGGGCCACCCTGATCAACCACCTAGCCCCAGGGGGATCAAGTAGTGCAGTTTTTTTGTTTTGTGTTTCAAGGATCTGCTTTTTGGTTTACTGGCAAAAAAGGGAAAACTTCACAGTTTCAGTTTAAGTACACAGACCACCCAGCATCCATGATGCCCTCTGCTAAGGAAAAAGATTTCTCCAGCACATTAATCCACTCTCAGCCACTTGGATGGTTCCAGTAATTACTGCCTCTCTCACACCAGTATTTCAAAAATCAGTCCTCACCAACAGTCTGGGAGGGATTGCTCATGCTTGAAAATGTAGCAGACACTTGATTGTAAATTCTAATGGTCAGTGTCAGAAAGGGAGCCAGTCAGTAACGAAGTCTCAACACTGCTTGATGAGAACACTGCCTGATGAGAATGTCCTGAGGGGACACTGAATAAGGTGGGTTTAGATGGTCTAAGGTAGACCTTTAAACTGGCCACTGTACAAGTCCCTTCATCTAATAGTCACCACATCAGAGAGCCATGTACTCCAACTCTGTGGCTTTATCAGTTCAGGGCTGGGGAGAAGCAGCAGGTCCAACAGGGATGGAGCTTTGGTTTGTCTGACGTCTCAATATAAATAAGGACAGGAGGCTTCCAAACTGTGCAAAAAGGTCCTTCATGTCACTTGCTCCCTTCAACCCCATCCTCAATGTACTCCATCACAGGATGGAAGGGGGATGAAAGGCCTGGAATTAAACTGGTCCAAACTTTCTAGAACATATACCCATGGCCTAAAGGTTTCACTGGTTTTATTATGCTAGAGACAACCTGGAGAATAAAAGAATTTGCTTAAGGGCTTGACATGTCCTCCCTTAGTCAACACTCCTGGTTCTCCAAATCTCTGGTCAAGACTTCTCTGGAATATGGCTACTTGCTGGCGAGAAACTCATTTTCCTAAAGTCTCTTACACAAAAGAGATGCTGGATAATAGGTATACAAAAACAAAAATAAATAAATATTAATGTCCAAAAAGGCTTTGCGAGTTAATGAAAACCACTTGCTTGTGAAACATCCCGGGGTGCTATGGAATCCCACCAGGGGCAGTGTCGGGGCTGAGGCCAGGGCTCGCCTGAGCAGGGTGAGGTAGTATGAGCTCCTGAGGTGACACCTCGCAAGTATGCAAGATCGAGGGCCCTCTCCCTCAAACCTTCTTTGGGAAAAACCCCTTAGAAAACCAAGTAAGAGTGGAGCTAACCAGCTGCGGGGGCTGGGCGGGCACACTCTGCAGCCACCCAGGGAGGGCCTGAACCAGCTGCCATCCAACAGCGCCCCCTGGAGGTCACAGCAATGACAGCTCAGGATAAATTCCAGCAGGTCAAAGGTGAGCTGCCAAATCTCCCACACTGTCAGCACAAAGTAAACAGGTTACCCGACTAGCACAGTCAGAACGCACACCCTGCTACACACCACCAGCTACTCAGGTCCCTTTAATCCCAAAGGGCTTGAGGTCCACCACTCCACCACCTCATGGAGTCAGCTTATCTACACCATGGGCCAAACACTTCTGGGTGGGAGACCAGATATAAATTAAGGCAAGGCTGCTGCTGTCAGAGACATCCCCACCTCTCCACCAGGACACTCATGGCCAACAGGAGTAGCCACAACAGAAATGACTATATCAAAGTGGTTCCCTATCCTCTCTGCCCCACAGGCCGGACATATCGGCCCATGACTCCATAAAATCATGTTTCTTTGGAAATGAGGAGAAAAGAGAAACCTTTCTGGTCCATCCAGACTGCCACTTCTAGTAGCACCACAGAGCACCCCTTGTGGCTGGCAGGGATTCAACCCAAAGCTTTCTGACCTAAATAGAAAGCTCTGTCCCCAGTGTGAATCTAGCTGCCAAAAGATTTTCACTGTCCAATCAGCAGATTAGGGCCGTAAAGTAAGCAGACACCTACATCCCTGATACCCAGCCGAGGGCTGGAAACTGAGGGGACTGCCCTGCTGACCTGTCTTTTCTGAACAACCGCATTCCCACAATCTTTCTCAAAGCCGGTCATCCCAGTTGGAGGCCTGGCAGTACCACCCACAGTGAAAAGTTCCCTTCACCTCCTCTGTTCAGTGAGGCTGTTGGTTGGATTCTTAGCAGCATAAAACCTATCAGTAAACTAAAACTAGAGAGGCTGGGGAAGGGATCTAGTTGACACCAACTGCTTGACTAGATCCCAAAATCAGCCGAAAAAGAATGAAAAACATAGCCCTTCATGGGCAAGAACAGGTATGGAGGTAAATGTGATAGGGCTGTTGCTTCTCAAAAACAGTAACAGCTTGTGTGCTATTTCTTCTTCTTTCTTCTTTAAACACAAACACAGAACAGAATTCCTACCAAGGCAAAATTATAACTTCAGCTGGGGAGGGACCAACAGCCCTTAGAAATCAACGTCCTGGCTGCTGCTTGGGTGCTCCCCCTGGCTCTGCGGGACCCAGTCAACTGTCTGGGTTCTTTTCTGCCTCTTTGGAATGGATGATGTACATGAAGGTCTGCTCGATGGTGAAGTCAGGTGGGAGGCTGCCTTTGTGCACACCGACATGCTTGCTCATGAGGTTCAGGGTGGAACTGTAGTGTCCACAGACTGTGCAGCGGTACATGAGGGCCCCCGAGTGTGTCTTGAGGTGGCATTTGATGGTCGAGCGGCCTCGGAAGAACTTGTGGCACACCTTACATTGGTATGGCTTCTCGCCTGTGTGGATCCGCCGGTGGTAGTTGAATTCGCTTGTGTGGGCAAATCTTTTGCCACAGACCTTGCAGCTATACTTGCTATTCCCAGGTTGGCCCTGCAGTGCCAGCTCTTCACTCAGAAACTCCTCTGCTGGCAGCTTCCGCTTCTGGAGAGCTGGGTGCTGTAGCCCAAAACCAGGCCGTGCGTCAAGGCCACTGTTACATTTGTGCTGGCTGACGTGGTAGCGATAGGCAGCCTCTGACTTGAAACTCTGGCTGCACAAGTGGCAGTGGAAGAGGGCATCTTCCAGGCTTTGGTGCACAGCCATGTGCTTCTCTAGAAGATGCCAGTCCACAAAGCTGTTGGCACAGACAGAGCAGGAGAAGACTGAAATGCCGAGATGGGACAGCGTGTGCCACATGAGGCTGCAGAGGTTAAGGTGACGCTGGTCGCAGACACTGCAGGCCTGGCCCTTCAAGTTCAGATGGTCAAGGATGTGGCCCCGGACCACGTGAAAATCTTTGGCCAATGCTTTCCCACAGGCAGCACATTTCAGCTCTGGGGAGGCTGCCCCTGAAAAGAGACCCAGCTTCCCTGGCAGGGGATCATTGGGGTGGACAATGATGTTGTTCTCAAATATGCCATCCCGTCGGTGAAGGGTCAGCTGCCACTGGGTAAAGAACTTAGTTTCACACATGTCGCAGGAGAAAAGGAAAATACCAATGTGGGACAGGACATGGGTTACCCGGGAGTTTCGGTCCTGGAAGTGGGTCTCGCAGACCTTGCAGTTCCCCGTCAGCAGGTCCACATGGTCCCGAGCATGCTGCCGGATCAGTTGAATGTTGGGTTCCAGAACTTTCTTGCACACCTGGCAGGGCATGGCCTTATTCTCCCGATTGTCATTCTCTCCAAAAGTCAGTTCATCCTCACTGTCATCACTTAGCTCAATCACCTCCTCGGCTGTGCCTATGTCCTCAGCAGGGTCTTCAAACTGCAAGTCGTCATCCCCAAGGCCCTCCATCTGGAGCTCATCCATCGGCCCAAAGCCTGGATCTCTGGAGTGCTCACTATTGCTCAGACAGGAGTTGGTCCCAATGGTAACGTCTACTGCATTGTCAGGGGTGAGGAAGCTGTTTTTACTGAAGTCTCCATTGCTTTGAACTTTGTATGGCTGGCAGGAGCTGGTGCTGCTCTGGATGCCCGTGCTGACAGTGCCTAGGACTGGCTGGGTCATCACGCTAGGAATGGATGTGAAGAGAGCAGGGGTATCGTGGTCTTCTGTCTTTGGTGGTGGTGGTGGTGGTGGTGGTTGAGGCAGGGGCAGGCTATGGTTGGTGTCACTGGCAACATTCCTCTCTTCCTCTTTATAGCTCCCTCCAGCATCACTGGGCAACACGTAGTTTCTATCAGCACCAAAGTGGTCCCCACCACCTCTGAGTTCTCCAAGGGGATGGGCAGGTTCTGCCGAAGGACCACTCAGGGTACCAGGGTGACTCTCACTGGTGCTGGTCAGGGGCTTGGCCCTGGCAGTGCTCTCCAGGTCAGGAAAGGTAGAGTGACAGGCCTGGAGGAGGTCCTCCATACCCAGACGCTCAGCCACCTCGTAGATGACCCCAACATTGATCAGGTCTGTAAAGAGCTCTGATGTGTAGACAAAGCTCAGAACCTTCTCAAAGTTGGCAGGGGTGATGAAGTCCACCACATAGGTCCTGGCAGCATCAAGCCCAGTATTCAGGAAGAGGTTCTGGAAGTAGCCAGCTGCGCAGGCCAGCACAGCCTTGTGGGCCGGGAAGGAGCGGCTCCCCACCACAATGGTGACGTCGCACATGGTCTCCGAGAGCCGGCACTTATTGAGTTCCTTCAGCAGGTTGTTGGGGTGGTTGGTGCTTTGCAGTTTGATCCTCATGCCCATCTTAGCAGCTCCTATGAAATTATCTCCTTATTAGCACGGTTAATCTGTGGACAGCAAGAGAAAAAGATGGATGGCTAAAAGATGGAGAGGCTATGCAGGAGAAAATACCACCACTCCCAACTCTTCCAAGCCATGGGTGGGAATCAGGAGTAAATGGGCATGGAGAGTTCCTCTTTATGATAAGGCAATGGCATCTCCTCCTGTATATACTCGAAGAGATATAACAAAAAACAAAAGGACTGATGACAATCTGACAGCTTAGTCTTAAGCCAGTGCCTAGAAACCAGCCAGAGGCACTCCCTCGGACACAATCTTATACTTCATTACCAGCGCCACTGGATCAAATTTTTTTCCTATTAATTTCCTTCTAAATACAAGCTTCCCTAATTCATTCACCATATTCTTTTCCCTCATGATGCCAAATGCCATACACATGCTTGAACACAACTACTGAAGCTCCACTTGCTACTGAGAAACAGTAAGGGGGTTCCATCTTTTAGCTTTGTCATTGCTGTGTCTTCAGCCTCTCAATAAATCTCACATTCTTGAATCCCCATCTTTCTCTGCATATACTACATACTTGCTCTCTGGCCTTTTGATAACGCAGAGCCACTCCAGATACTGGTTCATCACAGTCCCTGTATTCTGTGAAGTTAAAACACTCAGAATGCACAGTAAAGCAAAGTAGAACACAACTGTGGTAGCATTTAATATCACTTTAATATGATGTATTCTTTTCTTGCCATCCTTTTCGGGGTCTATGCTTTGTTGGCCCTGTGCTAACCGATTTACTTGATGCCGCAAGAAAGACTTCTAATCATACAGTTAAGACTCCTAGAGGCTAGTTCATTACCACTTTCTGCCCTTTCTGACTCTTGCAAGACTAAAGAAGAGCTACTTGCATCCCTGTTCAGTCTCACAACTCTGCGCAACACAGCCCCTTTCTCCATCTCTCCAGATTCTACCAACAACTCCCAACTTTTTCTGGGGCCCAGGAAGCGTCTGAGTATTGCGGGGTACCGGCCAAGCATCTCCCGGGCCCTGGTGGCCACCCCTGAAGGATAGGCGGGTCGGAGCCCCGGGCAGCCGTAGTGGAGGGCGGGAGAGGGGCAGGCTGGGAACTTCCGAGAAGGACCCCCAACAATCCGGGGGAGCGGCGGTCTCTCCTCCGGAAAGTCGCATCTGGGAGGGAAGGGCACGGGACCGGCTGGGACGCTCCCTCTGGGGGGCACCACGCGCCTCGGTCCTTTCACAAACAGCGTGGGGGCTCACCCGGGTGAGCCCGGAGGGGGCACGGGGCTGAATATGGGGCCAGGGGAGGGGTGGCGGGGCCGGCCGGGGTCGACGCGCGGGCAGGGAGGATGGGTCCGGCCGAGGGGAGCTGGCAGGAGGAACCCCAGCAAGAGCAAGAGAAATGCCGAGCCGGGGGTCGGGCCTCGGCCAGGGGCAGCCCTCTGCCCGGCCGCGCTTACCCGGCTCCGCGGGGCCCCGAGCACCATCGCCGCCGCCGCCTCACACAAAGGCCCCGGCCCGCCGTGCCCGGCCCGAGGAGGAGGCGGCGCCGCCGGCCGCGGCCAGACTCTCCATCCGCCGCGCGACTCGCCGCGCCGGCCCGGGCCGCCCCCGCCGCCCGGCCCGCAGCGCCCCCCGCCGTCCCGGAGGAGGCAGCGCCCCCCGCCGCCGGGCCGCAGCGCCCCCCGCCGCCCGGGAGGAGGCAGCGCCCCCCGACGGCGGGGCAGGGGCCAGGACCCGCTCGAGCGGTGCAGGGGCTTCCAAGCCCCCAGGCCTGGCGTTTTCCAAGTAATGATTCACTGTGTGGGGGACCTGGTGCCTCAAGAGTGGAAAACTCTATCGAAACCCTCATTGCTTCCCCTGATCCGTGTTCACAGTTCCTAAAGCCACTCCTCAGAACATCTGCTATGGGCATTTTACAAAAAGTTATAAGATTGTTTGATTACTGTTTAAATACGCGCTTTGAATGAAGAGACCCCCCCCCCCCCGCCCGCCAAACAGGCTTTGTGTGAGCAACATGGCTGTTTATTTGCCTGGGTGCAGGTGGGCTGAGGCCGAAAAAGGCGTTAGTGAAGGGTGGTGGGGTAGGAGTTGGTTTTATAGGTTTGGGGTGGGCAGTGGAAAGTTACAGAGTAAGATTAGTTACAGTGGTGGGGGTAGGGGCAAGGAGTATACATTACTGTAAGTTCAGTTACGATGGCGGGTGGGGTAAGAGTAGTTAAGATGGTAGGGTGGGGTGAGAATAACAGTTAAGATGGCACGGTGGGGTGAGCCATCTTAACTGGGGGAAGCTCCGCTGGGCGATCAGGGATAATGGCCAACTCAGGTAGTGGGGTTGGGGGATGATCAGCCAAGGCAGGCAGGACTTCAGACTTTCTGGGTCCGGGCTTGCACATGGAGGCCTGACAATTACTACATATCTCCTCCACTAGGCTGTGGGCTTCCTGGAGGCAGCCATCTGTGGCTTTGCACACGGCCGCATCTCCACACTAATTCCTACCACACTTCCTGGCACAAGAAGTGCTTAATACATTAAGCTTGTTTGAATAAATGAAGGAGCACTTGAGGGCTAGACCGCTACTATCAGACCCTTCTGATAATCCACCGCTGTCCCTCCTTCCACCTGTCAGGTCTCCACGTGCAAGCCTGGACCCAGAAAGTGTGAAGTCCTGCCTGCCTAGGCTTATCATCCCTCACCCCTACCTGCGTTCATTATTATCCCTAATCGCCCAGCGGAGCTTCCCCCAAGGAGCCTCTCACCCCACCCTGCCATCTTAACTGTTCTTATGATAATATGAATACTCCTGGCCCCACCCTACCATCTCAACTTTTACTCTTACGCCTTACCACCCCCACCCCCCACCCCCGCCATTGTAACTGAACTTATGGTAGTGTACACTTCTTGCCCTACCCCCCACCACTGTAACTGATCTTATTCTGTAACACCCCCATCCCCCCCAAAAATTGCCCCAACCTATAAAACCAATTCCCACCCTTACCCCCTTTGCCTGCCATTTCTTTCATTTTTTTTTTTTAAAGACGGGGTTTCACCATGTTGGTCAGGCTGGTCTTGAACTCCCGACCTCAGGTAATCCGCCCGCCTTGGCCTCCAAAGTGCTTGGATTATAGGCATTAGCCATCGCACCCAGCTGTCTGCTGTTTCTTGGATTTGGCCCACTTGCACCCAAGTGAGAAATAAAACAGCCTTGTTGCCCACACAAAGCCTGTTTGAAAGATCTCTTTATTAAATGTGTTTAATATTCGGTACTATTGGACACGAATAACACCACCACCTAGATGGCTAAATGAAAGAAGTTCCCAGATCTCACTGTACTTTGGTAGCCAGGCTTGTTTCCTGAAGCCTGCCCTCCCCACCTCTCTGTAGAATTTGATCACTCTTCCTCCCCACCCTTCTTCCAAATCATCTTCTCAAATGCTCCTGCCCAAGAATTGTCATCAAACCAAAACCACCTACTCTGCCTGCCCCACTCACCACCACCAAACACATTAGAAGTCTTGATCATGTCACCCTCCCTCCACAGAACAGAGAAAGCTGTTAGGCTCCAAGACCCTTTGGTTGCATCCTCTCTCCCTTCCCATCCCAGCCACTGCCTGAGAGTAGCCTGCACCAAGCACAAACTCCCAGGACAGGTGAATGGAAGGGTTCAGTAATTTCTTGATGGATACGTGGAAAGGAAGCGACATACCGAATGTCACAAGGGATCTAAGCTAGTCTGGCCATTCAACAATTGTCTGTTCTCTTGATGAATTTGGGAGATTGTATGTTCTTCTTTTTACAACCTCACTAACTGCTGGTAGATTATACTGAAAGCAAGCACTATACCAAATGCTGCCAAACATGTAACATTTGTTAGCCAGGAGTCACAAAAACAGCCATATGACTGTTCTTATACTTTGGGAATGAGAAATCTCACTTTGCCATCTAGTGAAAGGGTCGCTTGGAGGCCAACGAAATGTTTCAATGGCATGCCCACCTCCCACAGTTGTGCAAGGTGACTGAGTCTCCCTAAAGTGGAATATCACACAATCGGCAGACCCAGACCTCCAGCACGACTCTGGAGACCTAGGGCTGCTGGGCTTGCAAGGGCCTGGGCCTGTTCAGTCCTTCTAACCAACTGTCCCAGCCATCTCTGGAGTGTTGACACTGTGACATGGTAATTGCCCCATAAGCTGCATACCTCGACCATACCTTGGCTTTGCGTTGAAACTGCTCTCTGTGGGAGAGAGATCCAAGATGGCTGATCACTAGCAGCTCAGGATTGTAGCTCCCAGTGAAAGCGCAGAGAATGAGAGGATGCCACACTTTCAGATGAATTCTTGTTGCTCACGCACCAGGAGATTCCCAGCAGAGGAGCCCCACAGGTCGCCAGCACGACTCTTGTGGCCGGTGAGGCGATTTTGCCGGCGCCTCGGAGCGCAGTTCTTGGTGCAGAGTCAGAAAAGCACCATCAATCTTAACGCCACTGATTTAGTCCGTGCAGTGGGTTGCTCAGATTTCGGTGCTGAGAATCAATAAGTTGGACGTCCACTCAGAAACCCAATTACAAAGACGGAATTATAAAGACCACGGATAGATAAATCTATAACGAAGGGAAGAAACCAGCCTAAAAAGGCTAAGAATACCCCAAATCAGAATGCCTCTCCCTCTACAGGGGATCACAGTTCCTCATCAGCAACGGAACAAGGCCTGATGGAGAACGAGTGTGTTCCATTAACAGAAGCAGGCTTTAAAAGGTGGATAATAAAAAACTTCTGTGAGTTAAAAGAACTTGTTCTAACCCAATGCAAAGAAACCAAGAACTTTGAAAAAAGGTTTGACGAAATGTTAACAAGAATACACAATTTAGAGAGGAATATAAGCGAATTGATGGAGCTGAAAAACACGATACGAGAACTTTGTGAAGTATGCACAAGTTTTAACAGCTGAATTGATCAAGCAGAAGAAAGGATTTCAGAGGTCGAAGACCAACTCAGTGAAATAAAACGAGAAGACAAGATTAGAGAAAAAAGGGTAAAAAGGAATGAGCAAAGTCTCCAAGAAATATGGGACTATGTGAAAAGACCTAATCTATGTTTGATAGGTATACCTGAATGTGACGAAGAGAATGAATCCAATTCTCCTGAAAATATGCTTCAGGATATTATTCAGGAAAATTTTCCCAACCTAGCAAGGCAGGACAATATTCAACTCTAGGTAATACAGAGAACACCACAAAGACATTCCTCAAGAAGACCAATCTCAAGGCATATAATCATCAGATTCACCAGGGTTGAATGAAGGAGAAAATACTAAGGGCAGCTAGAGAGAAAGGTCAGGTTACCCACAAAGGGAAGCCTATCAGACTCACAGCAGATCTCTCAGCAGAAACCCTACAAGCCAGAAGAGAGTGGGGACCAATATTCAACATCCTTAAAGAAAAGAACTTTCAACCCAGAATTTCACATCCAGCCAAACTAAGCTTCATAAGCAAAGGAAAAATAAAATATTTTGTGAACAAGCAAGCACTCAGAGATTTCATCACCACTAGGCCTGCTTTACAAGAGCTTCTGAAAGAACCACTACACATAGAAAGGAACAACCAGTATCAGCCTTTCTAAAAAATACCAAAAAGTAAAGAGCATCAACATAATGAAGAATTTACAACAACTAATGGGCAAAACAGCCAGCTAACATTAAACGGCAGTATTAAACTCACAGATATTATTATTAATCCTAAATTTAAATCAACTAAATCCCCCAACCCAAAGACACAGACAGGCAAATTGGATAAAAAGCCAAAACCCATCGGCATGCTGCATCCAGACCCATCTCACATACAAGGATACACAAAGACTCAAAACGAAGGGATGGAGAAAGATTTACCAACCAAATGGAGAGCAAAAATAAATAAATAAACAAAACGCAGGAGTTGCAATTTTTGCCTCTGATAAAATAGTCTTTAAAGCAACAAAGATCAAAAGAAGCAAAGGACATTACATAATGATAAAAGGATCAATGCAACAAGAAGAGCTAAAGATCCTAAATATATATGCACCCAATACAGGAATACCCAGATATACAAGACTTATAAAGAGACTTAGACTCCCATACAATAATAGTGCGAGACTTCAACGTTAATATTAGACAGATCGATGAGACAGAAAATTAACAACAATATCCAGGACTTGAACTCAGATCTGGAACAAGTAAACTTAATTAACATTTATAGAACTCTCCACTTTAAATACACAAAATATACACTCTTATCAGTACCACATCATATCTACTTATAGGTTTAAATGGAATATTGGTTGGCTGCTTGTTTGTTATTTTCTTCCCTCATTTTTTTCATGTCTCTATTATTAAGCACAATTATAGGCATACCTATTTTTAGACTGCATTCTAGCCCGGGCAATAAAGCAACACCCCCGTTCTCTCTCCCTCTTCCTCTTTCTCTTTCTTCCTCTCCTTTATTCTTTTTTTTTAATTACTCTTTTTTTTTAAAAAAAAAAAAAAGAAAAGAAAAGAAAAAGAAACTGCTTTCTGTAACCCTAATATGACAGGCAAGCAGTCCAAACCCACGCCATCCTGGCCCCTTCAA